TTTGAGTGAGGATATGTTCCAATTTCCGACTTTAAGCTTCCACTTGTTTTGTCGTTTTCGTGGAGCCTTTTCTGAGGTGCTGTAATGGCATTGCGCTGTGTGCCTCTTCCGTTCAGAACTGATAGCGAATCCGTTGCTGACTGTTATCTTCGTCGTTCGGTCCGGCTTCGTTAGCCGTTGTTGTATTGCTATGCCCCCGGGTGGCAGGGGGAATGAGCAGGTTCTGATCGCTGACTTTGCAGCCTGCCTCAGTCTCCCGACAGCCTGCGCGGCTTTTTGTGACCGGAGCGACGACCGAGCCGGGTATAATTTTCGATGGCTTCAATACCATGAGTGGCATGAATACCATTAGTGATACGAAAGTCTTAATTTTGATTAATTCGCTGTTCCTATTCAGCAAATTAAAAGCAGTTGTAATTGAAAGTTTCATATAGGCAGTTTGAACGATTCATTGTTCAGGGTACCGAATACGTTAGATGGTAGAACATTTCGTTGCCGATGCGTTTCGTTACACAGGCCATTGCATCGTCTGGAGTATGTTAAGTGCAATTATTGCCTGGAAGGGACTTACGTCCAAGGAGCGAAGAATTCTTTACAATCAAAATGTTAAACTGACCGGCCTGAATGTTAATCAGCAAATAGTGTGAAGTTAATAGTTTCATGATTTTTTGGTTTTCGTAAGGTCCATAAGTCGCATTTGAATATTGGACCTCAATATGCTACAGCCCAGCGAGCAGAAAAATGATAGCATGTCGATGATTCGTAGAAAATTCGACGAAATGATTGACGGCTAATTTATGTCTTAATCCTCATGGAAAGCACGTTGAAGTCTTATTTATCATGTCCCATACCTGCTGAACTGAGAACGACGGTTCCTTCACAAAACGCACGGAAGATCCGGGTAAAATCTGATGAATTAAATCATGAAATTGAGAAACTGACATTCTTCGCCTTATCTGCATGGAAAACCCATAGAACTGCATTGGCGAAACTGACTATTCATGGCATTATTCGTTCGACCAGTGGCTTAAGTTTTTCATGTCGTTATTTCTTCCAACCTCGCCTAGAATGTACATTCATGCTTTTCTCTGTGTGTCACATTTTGAACACAGCGATTGAGTATTTTCGATTTCTGAAAACAAGACAGTTGCCTTTTTTCCCATGTCATGGGAAAAATCTTGTAGTATTCGCCCATGAATGCATTTGTGTGTACTCGGACCGTACATCACCATGAGACGACAATCAGCTCTTCGACACAGTAGTTCACACTCTACCGGAAAAGACCGGTAAGCAAGTGGAAGAATTCTTTATCAGATTCTGTTAAGAGTGAATTTATTGGCCAAGCAGAGCTCGGTATAGCAATCCAAAATCCCGACCGGGATTGGCTTATGATCGTTGAAGACTTAGCGTAGGACGTGAGGGAGAATGGAAAGATCACAGAAGTCATGTTATATATAGTTTATGAAAATTGACCGCGCTCCTTCAAAAAATCTGCTGGTATTCTTGCCAGGCATGAGACTGTCACATGCTTGAAGAATACTGTTCGAGCGCATTCACGGACGTAAGTAGATTTCATGCTCGATGTTTTAGATAGGCACTGGGAAAGGACAGCGCGGTGAGGATGGAATTTGTCCTTTTGGCCAAAGGTCGATAACGCCACAGATGCATCCATGGAAAATATCGGTAATAGTGGAAGTTCAAGGGGAGCATTGAAAAGAGAGAAACTTGAGGGATTTTCAGAGCTTTACGAAATCTGGTCAAATTAGGCCATTAAGGAAATTCAGCGTAGCACAGGATATGAAAGACAGGATACAGGCCTTCAGGAAGAGATGTACTGACGGGTTCATTGTAGACATGTTTCGAAGCGCGAGGCATAATAAGAGACACGTCGAATTCGGTCGCATATATTCAGTCGCAACTTTCGCTCTCTAACTAAGCATACTGTTCATCATGACAACGAAATATTTTACGGCGTGACCAGGTGCTAAACTTACAATACTAGGATCCGGTTCAGCCTTAGTCAGGGCAATCAAGTCATTTGTCCTAAGGCATTTCATTGCGAATATACGCTCAATTGATTTCTGTTCATTCACGATCTAACCGATGGTCTTCACTCGGGTTATCAGTGCCTTGATAACAGATGATATCAAATTCTGATCTTATGGCACTACCGGTTACAGTTTTATCTTCGCATTTCACCCATAGAATCAGTCCTTTTATTCATTCAGACATTCATTCGTTGATTTGGTAGATCTCTTTGATTCGTTCAGTTTTTTATACATAGATTCACTCATTCATTCAGTCGGTCATTTGCCCATTCACTCGTTTCTTTGAATCAGTTAATTTAGCGGCTTACTATTCTTTTCAAATTGCGATGGCAGCTAGTACAGTTATGTTTTTAAACAGTAGTGGTTTTCACTCGATCTTGAAGCTACAATACATCGAGTCCAAATAGCAACAACGCCAGGAGTTTAACATACCCGAGCCATCTATCTTTAGGTCTGTCTGTGGACCGCCTGCAGTTTGGCTTTGCGAAGGGAGCCGCTTGCCTTGCCACTATTTCTGTGGCCCTCCTTGGCGTCTGCTTTTACAGATTGTGCACTCATTCCGTCGTAACATTGAACGTAGCAAACTTATGATTCAGCATTCTGTTTTACTTAAATATTTTACTACGGTTTCGTAGTTCATATGCGAATTTCTGATATTCAGGTAACCACCGACATGCCCGACAGTTGTACGATTCGGCACACTGGAACCAGTGCCAGTGCCCCGATCGCTGCTGGAATTTTCGCCCTTGTGCTTGAAGCGAAGTAAGATGCGTCGTCTGCTAAAACGATCGTAAGTAAGGTGTGTTCGTAATTTAGCCCAAACATAACCTGGCGCGACATGCAGCACCTCGTTGTGCGCACCTCCAACCCGGCCCCTCTGCTGCGTAACTCGGGATGGCGCAGAAACGGCGTTGGACGTTACGGTACAATGAATGTTGCTGTGGTGCCTCTGCGACATACGTAACGGTCATGTGGTGATTTAGTGAATAACAAATTCGGCTACGGAATCATAGACGCTGAGGCATTGGTGAAGCTGGCTCAACGCTGGAAGACTCTTCCCGAAAAATATATTTGTACATACAACGCACGCATGAAAGCCCCACGGTACGTCGTCAGTGTCAGCTCTAGTTCGGTTGGCGTTTTTCATTGGTCTAAATGATCGCTGGTTGTTCTTTAGCGTTTTACCAGGAATTTTTTCATACAATTTTACACTGAACGTGGGCGACTGCTCGGACGGTACGCCGATTTACTTTTTGGAACACGTACAAGTGGTGGTCACTGCGTCATTTAATCCGCGCGGCGATCTGCAGATGTCCATTGTATCTCCGGCTGGTACCAGGTTGATGACTGTTGGGTGTATTTCATTCTTACATGCTCTTTCTCTTTTTCAGGAGTGACATTCTGCCATTACGCAAGTCGGACCGACTCAGGGGTAGCTTCAGCAACTGGCCGTTTCTGTCAGTACACCAGTGGGGCGAAAACCCGCGCGGTATTTGGACGCTGATCGTCGAAAGCCGTTCGTCCACCGATAACACCGGTAAAGCATGTCACTGTTGACTGACAACTGTTGT